CCCGATGCGGGGCTCGATCCCAGGACCCTGGGATCATGACCTGAGCCGAAGGCAGACGCTTAACGACTGAGCCACCCAGGAGTCCCTCTTTTAATCTTTTGATGCTATAATACAGTAATCTTTTTTTAAAGTTTATTTTTTTAGTAATCTCTACACCAAACGTGGGGCTCAAACTCATGACCTCGAGATCAAGAGTCACATGCTTTTCCAACTAAGCCAGCCAGGTGTCCTTATAATACAGTAACCTTAATCAAAGGTTAATAAACATTTATTGGTTTCCCCCTCAACTTCACTTCTTTTATTGTAATCTTGATTAAAAATATAGTTTTTGTCAAAAATAAAAGGTATACTCTAAATAAAAAAAATTAAACAGTTGAAACCTACAATTAAATGTGAAAGGTATATATAAAAGCTTAAATCTAGATCTACAATATCCTGGTAGACTTGGAAATATGACCTTGGGCAAGTAACTCTTTTACTAAGTCTTAGTTTGGTCAGTGAAAGGGGGATAATATGATTCACGTCATAGGGTTGGGGAGAGTAAATGAAATAACACATACAGAGCACTTAGCATATAGAAAGGACTCAATAAATGTTGGCTATTATTACAACTATTATATAGGAGATTATGATATTATCTGTAAATATTCCCATCTGTATCATCCTGAACCACTTTAGTCCTATGCAGTTCAACTCACAGCATTTTTTTTTTAAACTAATCATGTACTTCTCTTTATCATTTTGAACACTTCAACAACTTGTATATGTTTTGATCTCTTACATTAGCAGTCGTTCCTGGTATCCAGATGTTGCATGGTCATTTATTTTATTATTTGCAGACCTATCATTTAATAGACTTCAGTATTTTAACTCTTATAAGGGAAAGAGATAACAGCTGCATTGCTTTACAGTTGGTAGGTAGTCTCCTGTTAATAAATTCATAATATAAATCGATTCCTAATTTTTAAATATCAATTTTGGCTCATGATAAAATTTTTATATTTGACATTATATACCATGTAGGGATTGTATTTGGGTATTAGGTTTAGGGCCCTTGCTGCTGTTTTTTTTGCATAATTTACAACTACATTACCAAATGAAAAGTTTTAACACATGAATAACAACAGTACTGGCTTGCTACCGCTTTTATAAATGTATTACTGAAAAATCTGATGTAGTAAGGTGAGGTGAGATGCTAGAAACATTATGGATGGATTTCAGTAGTGCAATAAGTGGCTATGGAGAGAGGCATAAAAGGACCTGTTCTTGAAAAGGATCCACCTTAGCAGCCGTTTCCATTTTGAGGAGCCTGCTCCAAGACATCCTATCCCTCTGCACACTAGTTTTCCTAAGATGAACAGGCTTTGGAAGGCTCTTAGATAAATTCTCTCCATCCCAAAAGGAATGAATAAAAAAAACAAAAGAAATTGCAAAGTAACACTGCTTGTGGGATGGGGATGGTGGATGTACTGGGAATGAGTACATAAGGACCTCCAGCATACCAGACAATAACATACAAATTAATGAGAGTGATATTTGCATAAACATTCAGTCAAGAAAGCATTAGCCCCTTCAAAGTAGTCATTTTAGTTGGCTCTACACTTGATTTTTAGAATGCTGCCCAGTACTCAACTAATTTTTAGAACTTCCATTTCTGAACTTCAGAATCTTCTCAATGTTTTTATCTTCCAAGGGTTAATTTTTATAAACAAATGCCATTAGCGGTTAAGTCTGATAAACTGGGTACCAATGTTGTTGGTAAATACTTCTGGGAAATCATGCCCACGAACACCAAGACCAAACAAAACCAAACCACAGATGCAGGCATAAATTGACAAGAATGACTTTCTTGGGTTGTTCCAAAGCTGCCTTTGTGTAATTCCACAAACATTTCCAACAGAGTTACTGCAGAGGCTCCCAAGTCATCACTTTGAAGGACAATATGCATTCTGATGCAACAATTTTGACCTTTTGGGATTGAGGAGAAAATGAGAGGAAAAAGGAAGTCCTTTTATGATTATACGGAATCAAAGAGATTAACAAATTTGAAAGGTAGTTTTTTGGATCAAAAACCAGAATATTTAAGAAATCTCCTCAAATTTCAATTTGGATGCGAGATTCCCTGGGACCTTAACTGGAGGTCACGGGGAGAAGGTAGGTGGTTGGATTAATACAGTGTTCACAATAATTAACCATTTATCATAAATGTAATCTTATTCAATTCTCTGAGTTAAAAAAAAAAAAAAGCTAATGACACAGAAGAGAACGGAATCGTTTTCTCCAACAACCGGCCCAAGGATTATTCTGCTTGGGAATTGGGTCAGAGGCGATAGGCTGAGGTTCTCTTTGGGAACGAACACCTCACGCGGGTGGGGGGGCTGGGATGAGAACCGCTCAGGCTGACAGAGCTGGTCAGAGAGGCCCTCTCGGGGCTCAGGGGAGGGCCCCTAAGCTGCACCTCTCTCTCCCCAGCTCCATTAGGTCCCCCGGGGCTCCGTCTGGGTGAAAGAGACTGGGTGAGGTCTCTCACGGGCGGGGCTAGCTCACTGGGGCTTGCCCGGGTTGCCGAATTGGGCCTTGGTAAGAGATGCTCAAATCCTCCTGGACAGGGAGTTGAAGTGTGTGCTATCCCGGGGGTGGGGAGCTGAGGATCTGGGCCCGACTAGGGACAGAAGCTGGAGATCGTGGGCAGAGGGCGGCTTCAGGGCGTGGAGCAGGCTTTACCAGGACAGCTCACCCTTCCCGCCTGTTAACCTGAGATTCTTTTTCGCCTCGGCTCGGTTCCGGTCGTTGCTGAGGATGCCGCCGCCGCAGCCTCTGGGCCGCTGCACTATGCCCAGTGTCGGTGGGTCGGGTCTGCAAAATTTGGACTCGACCTCATCCAAGAGCTCGTCCAAGTCCTTCGCCATCTTGAAACGTTACGTCTTTCCCCCGTTCCCGTCGCGGCAGCGCCGGTTGGTTTCCAGGGGCAACGCGAGGACCCGCCGAGCGTGCCCGCGCCCGCGCCCGCGCATGCGTTCGCCGTCCCAAGACGGCCCAGGCGTCCGCGAGCCTCTGGGGTTAACGCGCTCGAGCAAAAGGACGCCGTGGGTCCGCGACTTCTGGTGGCGCTGGGCTACCCCTGGGGCCAGAGGTCGGAGCTGTCTCTTTCTGCGTGACCTCGCGACGCTTTGTTTTTTTTTGTTGCAGATTGGCGTGTTTTGTCCCATCTCCCCCTCCTGGGCCCAGGTTGTAACCACAATCACACGACACCGTAGCTCCCTCGTTCGCTCTTTTACGGCCCCCTTGGGGTCCCCGTTGTATTCCAAGCGTTCATAAATTCTTTAAATAATTTGCGGGAAAAGCTGGGGAGAGCTCTCCAAAAGGAAAGCAAGTATCGGCTGCAAAAAACTAACCTTTCCGTAGTCGGCAGGATTCGAACCTGCGCGGGGAGACCCCAATGGATTTCTAGTCCATCGCCTTAACCACTCGGCCACGACTACTGCTGTTGTTAATTTTGGCAGTGAGATCTATGTAGACTCTTCACACAAGTGTCTACGGTGTAACAGGTATGTTTTGAGGAGGAGAAAAACATTATAAAGCTGTTCGGTCAGTTAAGAGCATATTTGAATGTTACGACTAATAATTTTAGCTATTCCAGATACTCTCTGAGCATATACCGTCCAAGCCAATCCTTTTCTTTTCTATCAGGAAAAACAGTTCTAGTCAGATTTCTAGTTAGAGTCAGAAAACAGGAGGGAGGAAGGAAAGCCTGGTACTACCGCACACTTGCTTTCTCAGTAATGGAGCCATTTCCAGGAGGGAATCTGGAACGTAGGGGTGTCTGGCCAGCTCTAGGCTTCCTTGCCTGGCTCTCCGTTCCATCCCTTCGCCTCTTTCTTGGACAAACAGCTCCCAGGACTCTCTTTTCATGGACAAGGCACTAAAATGCTATTATTACCCGCCGATTTAAATTGACTAGGCAGGATCAGACTGTCCCATCGTGCTCTAAAGCCCTACTTTGAGAAGTGTAATGTGTGATACAAATGCAAGGTGTTGTTATTTAATGATATTCCTGTAAATACTACAAACCGTGTAACCTGAACTTTGAGTATTTCTAAAGTGGGGTAGTGACGAGGTTGGCCGCCCTGGAAACCCTGAAAATAGTTTGATCCAAGTGATTTAGTAGCTTCGTTTATTTGGTTTGTTGCGTGTTCAAAATGTCTTTAATGTCCCTGAAGAGCAAAGTGCAGTGGTGTGCTGGAATCAATGATAGCTGCTCACTAGAGCCCAACTTTACATTTTTATGCATTTTGGAAGCCAATTGTTAAATGCAACCATTAATTAAGACTAAATTATATAAACTTACAATTAAACTAATGACATTAAAAACAAAAGTAATACTCAAAATTCACCGTAGTCTAGTGATTTCCCCACATTTTATTATAATTTATGCAGTTGAGATTAGTTATAATCTATTGTGTCTGAAATACTATAGAATGGGTTGTTACTGTGAATCTCTTCTTAACTTCCCATTCAGGGATGTCACTGGGTAGTTTGAAGTCAGCCTTCCTGGGTGTATTTACACCAGGGACATTGTAAATGCTACAAAACATGGTTTTTTCTCCATATGAGCTGGTTGTCAAGCATCTACCAGCAACCGCTAATGTTACTATTAGACCAACCTTGAATATTCTCAGGAAGGCAACACTCCTCTTAATCCGTAGGGCTGTTCTGTTTTAGCCTGCAGCTTCGTTTTACCCATATGAATGCTGACATACTGTCTGATTTCCTACTCAATTTTTAAAAGATACTATTTTTCCCCTCCAAGTTGCCTTGCTGGGTGATTGTACTTTGAATTGACCTCCAGCAGAAAGACAGGAATAAGCCATTTGATATTGAAGTTGCCCTTGCAACATGGGTTCCAGGGGGAGTAATGCATAGTTACCATCCAGTTTAACAGGCTTAAATTAATAATTTGATTTTTCTCTAGAAATGGTGAAATCTGAGGTGATATGGCTAGTAGTTGAGAGAATCTATTCGCATGTAGAGGATTTGCATGAAGGACTGAAAAGTTAAAAGCGGAAATGCTTGTAGTTGTGTGTTTTGTTTGTATGATTATAAGAAAATATTGGAGCTGTTTCCTTCTTCCACTCCCATCCTCATTTTAATAAAATACCATGTATAGATAGATCATCCAGGGGTTGGTGCTTTGAGAATTTTGCTTACAGCTCATTCAACTCTTCATTGGGCCTCTTGACATTAGTGGTGTTGTCTTTCTGGTTTGCCTTAGAGAGAGAAAACAAGTTCAGTGTCTACAAGGAGAAATGTCACATATCACATATGTACATGATGACTGGGTATACATTCCTGCAGATCACAGAAGATTTTAAAAAAATACTATTATAGATTTCTTTGGTATTTTCTTTTTGTTTTCCAAGGTGAGGAATCTTATTTATTATCTCTATAGTTGCGAATATGTGTACACAGTGTAGTAAATTCCTTGTCCCCCTAAGTCTTTCACAGTTTTGGAAAGCATGCCTAGTGTCAGTTGTTTCATAAAGGAGAATAGCCAAGTGTTTTCAGATGAGACAATTATTAAACATGGTAAAAGGAGCATGCTGTGTATTATTATGTTACTTTGTATTCTAAGGAAGTATTTTAGGAAAAAGTGTCCAGAATAAGAAAATAAAGCCCTGTTGGCTTTTCCAAGTAACTGCAGAAAGCTCCGAGCCTGCCTTCTTGCTAGCACCATTCTAACTGAGTTAGGGGTGGTGATACGGCTGGTTCTGTTGTCCCGCACAGCTCCAGGCCAACCTTTTCAGTTACAAGGTGTTTTATAATCCTCCTGGCTATTCACATAATGAATTGCAAGGCCTCTTTAAATTCCCATGTACTTGGGTTCAATTTTCCCAGCCCTGCTTTCCTCCCACGCATCCCAGACCTTCTAAAATGAACATCCACTGCTGGGCAGTGATGGTGGTGTGAGAGGAGGCATCCTTCCAGAACAATTGCCAGCCCCCCAGCAGCTGATGCTGTGGCAGAAACAGAATAGCACTGAGGCAGCTCCGGTTCTTTTAAGTGGTCCCTCAGTTAGGCCTCGATGTCATGTAGGTAAACTCAGTCCAGAACATGCAGAATCTTTATTGGAATTTGTGCATTCATCTCTCACAGCTGTGAAGAGTTTAGACTAATCACAACCCTCCCTGGGATACTATCATCTTTGTAATTTGAAAAAGGATCAGGAGCCTGCAGGCTTGGAACGTCTTGAGAAAACTCTGGCCCCGAAATACATCATCACACGTGGGGGACACCACTTGCAGCATCATTGCAGAGAGCTTAAGAATGCTGAAATCAAGTATTTCTCTGGCGTGATTTCAAATGGCCTGAGAAATCTGAGAACTGCTTTTTTTAAAAAAATCTTTTTTTTTTTACTGCAAAACAGATTCTTTCCTCTTCCATCAACCCCGTTGCTGTCAATGTGTCTGATGTTAGGTGCCAGAAATGAGCATAACCTTTTCATGATAACAATGCCAAGGTTAACATGGCCGCCAGGGGCTCTCTCAAGAATCTGTTAGGGTGTATTTTGATCCACAGACACGTTCCGAAGGCATCCACCTCCTTAGTCTTTCCAGTCTCAGTACATTTCTCTTCAGCAGCCTGGATAAAACCTGTCACTTTTTGCCAGACCTTCTCATGCTTGGGGGCCCCTCGGACACTATTTTTCATTGACCCCCTTGTGTCCATATGGAAGAGCTAGGTTCAAAGTTGGGATTTGGGAAGCAGCCTCTGACAGCACAGAAGCCTAGTGAACTATGGTCATTTGTTCAGGAGGTCCGTATTCACAGATGTGCTCTAAGAGTGTAATACAATTTTTGGCCCCACCCAACAAGGTATTTTATTACCATCCATATAGGAACCAACAAACAGATCGGCCTGAGGAGGCAAGTGCTAATGTATGTGGTTCAAACCCGTCAAGCCTCTGAAGAGTCAGTAGTCCAGCTTTTCTTTTGAGGCTTGAGCAATAAAATGCGCCTTTCAATTCTACAGTTCTGGGAATACAGCTCCCTCGTCCTTCCTTGTTTCATATTAGTTTTTGCTTTATGATTTTCAACCTTCAGAAAGTTAATCTTGATTCAGGAGAAAGAAAAAAGGATCGATAATGAGAACTCTGTGGGACGGGGAGTAGGAATTGCAGCTAGGTGTTAGAATGAAAGCAAAGGTAGCATTGACGTCTTCACAATATTTGTTCTTCCAATCCATGAGCATGGAACGTTTTTCCATTTCTTTGTGTCTTCCTCAATTTCTTTCATGAGTAT